TTTCATACAACAGTATAGTTTGTAATAGCGTTGAACATGTCGAATTTTGTGCCTGGAAACTACGATTTGCAGACAGCATTGATTTTTTGTTACCATTTGAAGAAAACTACTGCTGAATCGCATCGAATGCTTGTCGAAGCTTACGGTGAGCATGCTCTTGGTAAATCACAGTGCTTTGAGTGATTTAAAAAATTCAAAAGTGGCGATTTTGACGTGAGAAGCGAAGAACGTGGAAAACCACCGAAAAAGTTTGAAGACAGCGAATTGCAAGCATTGTTGGATGAGGATGACGCTCAAACTCAACAACTCGCGGATCAATTGAATGTGACACGAGAAGCCGTCTCCATACGTTTGAAATCCATGGGAAAGATCCAGAAGATGGGAAAATGGGTTTCACATGAACTGAATGAAACGCAGCAGGAAAACTGAAAAACCACTTGCGAAATGCTGCTCGCCAGGTACAAAAGAAAGTCATTTCTCCATCGAATTGTGACTGGCGATGAAAAGTGGATATATTTTGAGAATTCTAAGCGTAAAAGATCATAGGTAACTCCAGGCGAACCATCGACATCGACTGCAAGACCAAATCGCTATGGACGGAAGATAAGGCTCTGTGTTTGGTGGGATTAGAGTCCTAGATTTATCAGAGAGGCGCAACCGGTGTTATGCTTATATTCTGATTCGCTGTTGCAATCTAACCAATTGCGTGACTTGGCAGCCGTTTATAGTACTAGTGACATATTTCTATTTCATTTTATCCTATACGTTCCATCTCACATTATCCTACACATCTTATCTTGTTTGACATAGTTTAAAGGCAGTTTCATAGCATGTCGGCCATGTTTAGTACTCTCCTTAGCACCTTTGTTATACTGACTTAAGCCGGTTGCGCCTCTCTGATAAATCTAGGACTCTAGATGGGATCAGAAAGGTGTGATGTATTATAAGCTGCTAAAACCTGGTGAAACCGTTAATACTGAACGCTACCGACAACAAATGATCAATTTGAATCAAGCTTTGCGTGAAAACGATCGGAATATCAAAAAAGGCAACACAAAGTGATTTTGCTTCATGATAATGCACCATCACACACAGCAAAACTGGACAAGGAAACGATTGAGGCGTTTGGTTGGGAAATACTTTCGCATGCGGCTTACTCACCAGACTTGGCTCCGTCCGATTACTACTTATTTGCATCGATGGGACACGCACTTGCTCAGCAGCGCTTCACTTCTTACAAAGATGTACGAAAATGGCTAGATGACTGGTTTGGCTCAAAAGAGCAACAATTTTTTTGGCATGACATCCACAAATTGTCAGACAGGTGGGAAAAATGTGGTAGCTAGCGGTGGGCAATACTTCGAATAAAATATTTTTTATCATTTTCATGCAATAAACATGTATTTTCTATTAAAAAATTCCGGTTTCATATTTACATACCTGGTATATATAAGAAGAAACAGTATAAAAAGAAATAGTATACAGACTCCTTTTTCATTCTTGTTTTCCTTCTTTTTTACTTTTGTTTCATTCTTTTTTTTATTCTAGGTTTAATAAAAATGCATGTAGCTTGACTTTGTTATAGAGTCTCTATCCAGTTTGTCCTTATACATATACTGTGCCGATTCAGTCAGTACGTGCTTTGTTGGCGATCACACCTTTATATAGACAACGAAACAGAGATAGAACATGTAAGCATTTAAAAAAAATGAAATATTTAAAATAACTTGTACTGATAAATACCTAACCTTTTACAATTAATACAGGTCATCGTTATCGGAGTCAGATGTCGATAACATGGCTTCTTTTACAAGAAGTACTACTAAAAAAAAAAGAGGAAGATTAGAGGAGAACTTTCAAATAAAGAGAAGACATGGTACGCACGAAAGTTCCGTCCAGAATGGTTAAAACAAAAAGAATTTGAAGGTTGGTTAGAAGAAGTACCATCTGATATAAGTAAATGTAAATGTTTAGCTTGTAATGTGCAATTATTATGTGGAAAAAGTGAATTACTAAAACATGTGAATTCAAAAAAAACATAAGAGTCGTGTAGAAAATCATAAAAATACAAGGAAAATGGATACTTTTTTTTACTAAACAGAAGCAATTGAATAAAGAAGATCAAATCAAAAGAGCAGAAATCAAACTTAGAAAAAGACTACAATATGGTATATAGCAAGTACATATATAGTATATATTAGTAATTCAAGATTGAATTATTAAAAAGTAACGAAGATCCAGCTCCGACCGTAATAGGCAGTTAAATTTCTAGTATTAATTGAGCAGAAATCAAACTTAGTACCGTATTTGCAGAGCACAATGTAGCGTTCTTAATGATAGACCATCTAGTTACCTGTTCTACAGGACATATTTAATGATTCTGTTATAGAAAATGCAGCTAGGTCGAACTAAGTGTATTAACATAGTAAAATATGTTTTAGCACCTGAAATATTAAGAAAAACGATCAATTACTTAAAACATGCCAAATTTAGCATCTTAGTAGATGAAAGTACAGACATAAGTTTAAAAAAGTCTTTGTGTCTATTTATTAGGTACGTGACAGCTGCAAATAAAGTGAATACAAGTTTATTAGAATTAAACAATTCTTTGTCTGAAAGGCATATACCACGAATACCAGATAACAGTGGCGATTATTTCAAATCCTTTATTAAATACATGGAATCAAAAATAAACGTTTCGGTCCCAATCGGACCATCTTCAGTACTATTATGAATTAATTAGACATGATCCTATCATACGCAACATAACTATACAATTTAGTTAAGCCGTCAATGTTACTTAAAAATAACTTTTAATCATATCATTTTTAGCATCTGTCATTACATAAAAAATTTTTTCCTCTTTTCTCCTAAAAACGGAAGTCATGAATTTTTTTCTTTCTCGTCACTTATGCTTCACATTTTGTTAATCTCCTTTGTCACATAAAAAAATCCTTGTTGCATCACACAGAGTTACCAGATTCTGTCAAATTTTTTAATCTTTAATAGTCAAAAACTAACTAAAAATTTAATTATTTCCTTATCACATACCTGTGCGATTATGTTAATTTAACGTTACCAGTCATTTCTTTCTTAATACATCGCAGCTCAGCATAAAATCAATGGTAGAACGCAAACTTCCTGATTCTAATAACAACACCATTATTAATACAAATAAAACAATTAAAACTGTTATAATCTTAAAACGCACCTATGTTCCATTATCTCATAATCCAGTTCATAACGTCAACGCGGATAACTTTCAGTATCGTTCCAATTGTAGTGACAAACTAACATCTCAACGTACATCTCCAACTTATATAAATCGTAAACAAGTGGAGAGGGAAGCCGTTATATGTAAGAGATATTTAACAAAGGAAAATATGATTCTGGAAATTTCTCTGTGTCTGTCTGCTTGTTCATGCCGTTGATCTGTCTTTTTTTACTAATCATCTCTAACGTGAGTCTTTTATGAAAGAATAGCTCTGTGTCAAGTATTTGAATATTTTCCCAATCTAAATTATGTCCTAATTTCACTTGGTGATCCGAAACAACCGAACGAGTATCCTTTGTTTTCTTAATATCAGCTTTATGTTCTTTTATCCTAGTACCTAATTTCCTATTTATCTGACCTACATATGTTGAATCACAATTTGTGCAATTAATCTTATACACCATTTGAGAACTTTCCATTTTTTCTAGTTCTTTACCTAATTTAATAACTGAAGTTAAGGTGTTAATCGGTTTATATGCTACCTTATAATTATTTTTGTCTGCAATGCGCTTGAATTTTTCCGAAATGTTCTGTATGTAAGGTATTGTAAAATATTTTTTTATTAAATTACTATCCTCTATTTCTTTGTTAACATTCTTCTTGTTATTATACAAATTCTTTCTTTTCGATAAAGTTTTTATTCTATAATTTATAATAGAGAATATTATGTTCAACGGATAACCGTTCAAAAGCAAAACATTAATTAAGATTTCTATGTTCCTACTATGATAATACGGATGTGAAAGAAAAAGAATTCTATCAAATTGACTTATAATAACACCTCTCTTATGTTCATCCGGGTGATGCGATTTGTAACTCAAATACCTTCCCGAATTCGTCGGTTTTTTATAATTATTAAATTTGACACAGCCCTCCTCAATTCTGATCTTAAGAAAACAAAGGATGCTCGTACGGTTGTTTCGGATCACCGAGTGAAATTAGGACATAATTTAGATTGGGAAAATATTCAAATACTTGACACAAAGCCAGGCCCGGATTAAAGAGTTGAGGGGCCCGGGGCTATTTAACTTAAGGGGCCCTTCTTTTCAATCTAAAAAAAAAAAAAAAAAAAAGATCACGTCTGTATGTAAAGCAGTATAATTAGGTTATTTAATCTAAAGCAATAAATATTAAAATTGAATCATATAAAGATTAGGGACAAGTAAATAAATTAATACTTATTTTAGTTTTTTTAGTTAAAATTTTTTTTTCTCAATTTTAATTGTACAAAATCTTGTATTAAATTGTTGTAATCAATCGATCTTAGTAATTCGAATTCGATTGCTAAGCGAGTTAAAGATGTTAATCTTTCGTCCAACATCATTGCTCTGTACATATTTTTTATTCTTTTAAGAACAGAGAAAGATCTTTCTGCTTCACAATTTGCTATTGGTATAGTTACAAATATTCTAAGCGCTATGTAAACATTGGGAAAAACATCTGTCATTTGCTTCTCAACTATCCAGTTTAGTACTTTAAAAGGAGAAACAAAATTACTTTTTTCTTCTTGAACTTTTAAATTAGAAAAATATCCTTGCAGTTGTGATTTTATCATTGGAAGAAGCTGTTCCAGTTCGTAAATTAAATCAATTTGTAAATCTTTATGATAAACTTTAACTAAATTTTGAGCTTTTATTTTTATTTCATCTTTATTCATAGTCAAAAGATTGCATAAGAATCCAAATATTTCTGTAATATGAGCGTAAGCTTCGATTCTTTTGTACATTTCTGTAATGTATTTATCAATAATAACGTAAAAAGTTTCAATTCTGAATTTATTGGATCCCGATAATGTTTTTTTTTCTTTTTCATGATCTTTTAATTTTTTTGTAATTCTTCTTTTATCAACATTGGAATACTCTTGCGTGATAATTGAACTCAAAGCTTTTGATTGTTTTTCTATTCCCGAAAAATCATCTCGTAAATTTTTTAAAAATTCTACTAAAGATAGCATCATATTTTTGGCTATATTCAAGTCAAGCTCGACTTTTTGTAAATATGAACTGGTATAGCATTAAATCTACTCAAAATCTTATGCCAGAATACCGCCATAAAGGCATTTTCTAGTTTAATAATTTTATTTTTTAAAGATGAAGCTTCATGTCGTGTATCTAATTTTTGAGTTTGATCGTCAGCTAAATGGCTTAGAGCATTAAAAATACCAGTAAAATTATTTACAAGAGCACTTACAGCATCTGCTCTTTTTGACCATCGAGTAATGGATAAGCTCGTAAGTTTACCATTTTCTTGCTGTAAAATATTCCACCTGTGAATGGAAGAACTAAAATTTTAATCAAAAAGTTAAAATTTTTTCCTTAATGTAACGGGGGCCCCTATTTCCGTGGGGCCTGGGGCTACAGCTCCC